ATATATATGTAATATGAATAGTGAATTACAAAAACAAAATAAAAAAAACACTTTTTATTGAATCTAAAGATCAAGATATTGAAGGAAAGATGTCCTGTGCTCAAGGCTGAAAATTCAGAAGGAATGATATACTCTGGTCGTATGATGGTTGTGAAATGTTTTCCTTTCAACATAGGGAAACAAAAAGCTTTAATATGCTTATGAAGAAATAAAATTGAAATGAAAGATGAAAGAATCACATGACTACAAAAAACAAGTATCCCTCCATGTCAGGAGCTATTGTCTCTGTGTTCTGTGTATTTAGAATATTTTGCTTCATAGCAGTGTAGAAAACAACTTCGCAAAGATGAAAATAAATTCTCCCAGAAGAGATCACTGGTTTATGAAAACGGATGAAATCAAATCTCTGAAGTAAACATACATCAATGTGCCTTCTGAATGTCTATTGAGTTACTACTTTGTAGCCCTAGTTACTCAATCAAGCTTCGCCTTTATCTTTAAAATTAGATAACATTAAATTATATGGTAAAATGTGTAAATGCCTAGATAATATCTAAAATTCCTAGAAAAGAAGCTTAGCAAATCTTTTTGGATATAACAGTGTGACTAACTACCATATGGATGTGCAAAGAATGGAATATAAGGCACATGAAAATGTATAGAGGTACTGAAAATGTTTTCCCTATGGTCAATGTTCATAGATTATGAAACTCATATAGCATCAAAACAGATGAGATAAAAATAAAATATTATTTAAAATACAATTGTCATAACTCTTCCCTATCCTTATCTGGAGAATGATGCAAGAATATTATCAACCTATCATATAATTGTAAACTTTTCTTTGTATCTATCTTGATGTTGGTTTGGTACTGGGGTACACACTTTCGTTTGCTTTCATCCTTCTTACCCACACAAAGTCTTAGCAAGGAAGGTGTCCATACAATAGTAGACTATAACTTACATCATGGCCATTCAGTTTTAGTACTGGACTAATTTACCTTTTCTTCTTTTCTCGGCCATACATTGGCCTGGAATTCAGATTCAGTGTGAGAGCTACTTCTATGAATCAGCAGTAGATAAAACAGCACTCTTGTCCTGTGCAATTCAGTGTAGTCACCACTAGCCACATGTGAATGCTGATCATTTGAAATGTGTTAAATATGGGTGATGAGATGTAGTTTAATTTTTACATAGTTTTATAGCTTAAGTTTAGAAGTAGTTGATTTAGTTATTAAAAAAATGCATCTATGCTTAAAACAACACGTGTGTCTACTTTTCAAACAAAATTCATAAATACAGATGTGAAGTATTTCTAATGAAATTTAATGTTCTTATTGTGATATGATGAATATTTTAACATTAATGATCTTGGTAGTTTAGTTTAAATTAAGCATCATTAAGTTTTTTTCACTTGCCTCGTTTTAATAATATATTAAAATCATCATGTAGGATAATCCTTACTTGTTCCTCCCCTTGGAAGGCAGTTAGGAAATGATGATTGGAGTTCATATAATACTTGATTAGTATCTCTGTTTAATCAGGACATACAATGCCCTGATTTTTCCTCTCTGATTCTCATACACACACACACACACCAAATTCATTTTAGCTTTATTTTATTTCTTTTTGCTTATGTTTTATGTGTATGAAAGAACTGCCTGCATTGCATGTAATTGCCCCATTTGCACACAATGTCCATGAAGGCCAAGAGGGGACATTAGATCCCCTGGAACTGAAGTTACAGACTGTCGTTAGCCACCGTGTGTGTGGCTGAGAAAAGAAATGGGGTCTTCTGCAACAGCAGCCAGTGCTTCAACTGCTCAGCTATCTCTCTAGCTTCGAACTGTAACTTTTTACATTGCAAATGTGATGACTAGAAAATTAAATGTTGCATATGCCATTTACATATCTCTACCATTATGTGCTGGTATGGGGAATGACAGATCCACAAAGCAGAAAGGCTTCATGGAACAGAAGTGCACATAGCTGTTAGCTAACTTCCAGTTCAACTGTGTATGCAAAAGAGAAAGAAATCACTAATTCTTTATACCACTCTTGATTCGATTTCTAGTAAAGCAGTTTTACAGTGTTTTAACCAATAATTGGCTTCACAGGATTCTTTGGAGTAGTGAATGAGATTTAGAATGCAAGCTACTTTGCAGTAAAGGCTCAAGCCATGTTAAGTTATTCTCTATGTTTCTCTAAATTGAAATTACATTCTCTTGAATCTGCAATTCTTTATCATTTCTTACATTTGCATTATATAGTCACACTGATATTCAATTTTATGCACTTCAAATAGAATTAAATTTTAATAATTTCATAGTGAAATCACTCATTCTACTCTATGGTTCAAAGCTATATCTACTATATGGTTTCATCTTCTATTGCTGTAAGGAGGAATACCAAGCACACTCAGATGCCCTTCCACCCCCAAGATAATATTTTCTTGTATTTTCTTAATTGGCACCTCAATATCTTGTATATTTATTTAATTCTTCCTGAAATATGTTTCTGCTTCCTTATCATCTGGTTAGATGCTAATTGTTTTCAGTGCAGCTCACAGATCTAACAAAGGCATTGCATTAGCTCGACTGTGAAATGTACTCAGAAAACCTTAATGACATGTTCCTTCACCATCCTGACCCATATCTCTATGAGGCTGTATAATTATAATTTCATTCTAAATGCAACATCTTTCTCTTATTAGATATCATGGGTTTTTGTCCATTACTCTTCACTCCCATTTTCTTTTTGCTAAGATGCACTTCCTCGAGGGAAATATTGAATGTATATTGGTACCTCTGCTGGCATCAAGGCAAAATTTCTAATAAATGCAGTAGACTGTGAATGACATAGTAGAAAACTGAGGAGTATTTGGTGTAACAATCTGGAAGAAGAATATAGAACTCTTACCAAGAAGGTAATTAGTAGGTGTTAAGATGTAACTTCAGTCTTCTAAGGTGAATGTTAGGGGGCATTGAAGAAAGTGGATTCTGGAACCTATAAAATAGGATAGAATCTTAAACCCATCATGTGATCCATGACAAGTAACAAGTCCACTATGTACTTTAGGATCCTTATCTGGAAATGGAGAAAGAAAAATGCCAGTGTATCTTATAAGTTCAAAGGGAAAATTAGTTGTATTTGTGCAATGGCTGGTTGTGTAGCAGTGGGAACGTGCTTTCCTAGTGTGCACAGGCTTGGGTTTGATCTTCAGCACTTAAAAATAGTTTTCAAGAAAATTTAATTTCAGAGAGTGTACAGCACAGTATAAATATACAGTGAATTTGTTTTTATACAAAGGCTTTCACTTAAAAGAACAGAATAGGGAAAGCATTTAAAGCAGCAACTGTAAACTAAGAACAGTACAATGCAGAAAAACATTGTGTAGCAGAGAGGGCAGGTGAGGCCACCTTTAAGATGTAGAAATAGTCTGTAAATGAGTGGAAGGAGGTAAAGAGTTTAAAATATAATATATTGTCATCCATTGAGCATAACATGCTTGGTCAGGGTGCTTGAATTATCAGAACCAGTTTCTTTGTTTCTAATTTTGTTTGTCTATTGTGCTTTCCAGAGAGAAAAATACTTAAAGAAATGAAAGTCAGTTAGTTGTAAGCAGCACATATCATGCCATCTCTATTCAGACCACAAATCCATGAATAAACCGAGGCACAAGAGATACGCTGTTGAATAAGGTAATACTAACACCTCATGGACAGAAGTCCTGTGAGGAGCCAACATTTCAAAATATTTAATGTCATGTAAATGTAGTAAAGTTTCAGTGAAGAAACTGAAAGTTTATTACTATCATTATTTTTATTATCAGTATAACTATGAAATCTATAAGAAAGGTCCTTTTATAGCCTCACCTAACATAGCATAAGAAAGGTGCTGTACAAAAAAAAAGTTTGTGTGCAGTTTTACTCATGCATTTTACAGATGGACAAAATGTATGCTAAAGTAAAAATTAAGCACAATATTGATTTCCATTTGAATCTCAAGGATGTAAAACTCATGCTCAGTGTGTCTATAAAGAAGGTCTGATTGTTAAAAGCTAGGGTAGTAAAAGAATGAAATTTAATAATACCTAGGGAATGGTTTATGTCTCAAAACATATTCCTTGAAATTGGGGCTGGAGTCTTTCAAAAGCTACTGGTTATGATGGAGAAAGGAGATGAGGATGAAGAGGAAGGGGATAGGGAATATTACAAGGCAGGTCCTCTTGGTGCTGAGGATGGAGGTGGTTGAGTTCACAGATGATCCATTATCACAGGAACTTGGTTATTGGCCTAGATGTGCAGGTGTTCAGAAATCAGGGGAAGAAGCCTGTTTTCTGAAGGAAAGGAAAGGAGACCATCAGTCTCAGTATACACAGTGAATATTCAAGAATACAGAAGTTCCACATACCATTGATATAGGGTAAGAACAGCTGTGGGCTCTGTGGAGATCCTCACCCCCTCTTCTCCCTGTTGTTGTGCTATGTCCACAATCATTGATCAGTTCCACTAAGAGAGATGAAGAAAAGAAAAAAGGAATTGGTTCCAAATCACCAAATTTCTATTTTACATAAGTCTGAAGTGAGTGGCTTAATGAAAAATTTCAGTAACTGGCCAAAATGAGCTTTGGAATTTGTCAACATACTTTGACAATCCATATTTTTAATGTCATTATTAGGGTGAATTAAGAGTTCAGTTAATTTGTTTATATATTTCACCCAAATATTGCTAACGGATAATAAACTTCTAGATGTTCTTGTTATATGAATCTCCAATCTTTTTATGTTTTTTCATTAATATTTCTAAAACTTATTTAGCAAAGTGAAGTAATGTTGATCTTTACATTGTTCAATAGCTGCAAACTTCAAGGGACAAGTTGATTTTAACAAATTTGTGAGAAAATGTTTATCTGGAAATGAGGTTCAGAAGCGATGCTCACAGTGTCTTCTTGGGCTATTTTCATTTTCAGGATCTTCAGTAAAAAAAACAAGAGATAATTCCTGTGTTAAGATGTGAACTGTGCTGTTAATACTCCCAAATATTAATAAAAGTTTCTACCCTGAAATGTTAAGTATCTAGTAAATATCCCTCAATAGAAAAGTTATCACTGTCAAAGGGAAAGTCGAAGCATGCTCTTTTTGTTTTACATTACATCATACTCTTGAAAAACAACAAATCAAGTGATGTTTAAAAACAAATGCAATATGATTTTTTTCTCCATGAATACTCCAAAGCACTGTCTCCACCCATTTCACAAATGATAGAACTCCTTCAAATTTCTGAACCACTAAAGGAGAGACTTTCAAAGAGTCCATGCAATAAGAAATTCTTAATGATCGAGTTCTTTTCTATTCACTCAGCTCACTCTCTAGCCCTAAGTTTTCTCTCGGAGCAGATACTGTCTCTTTCGTGTCACGTGGATTTCAAAGGGTGTAGATACAATCTAGCAAATAAGCTAAAATTTTCTGAGAAGTAGAAATTATTATTATTATTTTGAGAAGTGGGAGAGCAAATGTTTATATAAACCTTGAGTGGGACTTTGGTAGTTATCCAAAACCATAGTTTTCAATCTGTAGTCTTGCTTATGCTATATGCCACTCAGAATCAAAATATTTTGACAAGCACATTTGCAAACTCTACTTTACTTATAAAACTTAAAACAACTATTATGTTAAATATAAATTTAGATTTAAAATAGTTTCAAATTTTCATTTAATATAGAACTATTGGATTATAATTTTTATGTCAATATATAAAATTGGTTGACTGTTGTATAATTTGCTTTAAACTCTGACATTGCTTAGGGTACATTTATTTAATATACTTTTCTTGTAATTCAGTTTCCACTGATTATTTTTAAAAAGCAGTACTCCTGAAATCTTAGTCACTTTAGAATTTTTACAACTTTTTTTTAATAGCAGTGAAACTTAAAAGGTATCAGTTTCTTCTAGGAAAATATTATACAAAGAATCAGCCTAATATATATGTTCTGGGTCTGTCGTGTAATACAGAAATTGCAGCACTCTGGGTGAAGTGTAAATCATCTTATACTGCTTTAATTTGTCCCCAATGATTATGCATGGATTTTATAAATATTAAGATTTTTGTTTATTATGGAAGACTACTAGAAAAATTTTATGTCTCATACATAAACATCTAAAATGCTTAAGTATTATATCAGTGCTTAAAAATTGAAATAAATCTTGCTGCAGTCTTACCACTTCAATTTCTGGAAAAGGAAGGAACTAATATTATTTTAAGAAAAATACATTAGGAATTAATACTACAAATTAAAATTACAAATTGTACACTTACTTTTTAGTTTCTTCTTATTTCTTATATATACTTATGCATGATCACCTTGATTATATGAACTGTAATATGCAATTCCTTCATTCCGCCCAAAATTCCCAGAACATCTAGAGATAGTCAAGAACACCTTATTTTCTTGGTTACATATTTGGTTCAATATTTTTATTGACAAGGATTTCAAGCCTAGTTATTATTACATTCTACATTTCAAAGAACATGATAAATTTGTCTTCAGATTCAAACAGATCTATTTATAAATCCA